GTCGTTCATACCTATGAATCAAAATGCGCCTCCCCTTCTTGCAAATAATAATGAATCGCATTCATCTTTAGCCATCATCTCGAACAACACTGACCATAAAGCTTACGCTATCCGGGCCCATTCATCGCCAATTCTGTTGTGGCTGGCAGAACGGTATCCAAATGTGAATACTATACATTTTTTTTCCGATGGACCAACATCGCAGTACAGGAACCGCTATAATATTTTCCTTGGTTACAATGTAGTTGAACCAATTTTTAGGAATTTGAAATTAGCTGGAATCAGTCTGCAAGTGAGCTTGAAGGGGCCCCAAGATGGAGTGGGGGCTGTCATCAAAAGAAATGCATAGACTCTGCTGTGTGCGAAGGATTAGATATCGTTTCTGGAGAAACGTTAGTCAAAGCTAACAGCAGCAGTTCCTTAAAAGTCCATCTTGGAGACCTTAAAGAAATGGATTACATGCAAACCAAAGTATCAGGAAAAATTTCTGCAATTCCCCGCATCACGACGGCCTAGCAAATTACCCGGGCAGTTGGTGAAGATAAATTATATGTTATAACTTTTTTTCTTAAAGAATAGCTTTGGTATCTCACTAGTCGGAGAAAACTCTCGACTCCGCCCTCGTCGCGCCCTAGTCGGAGTTCCCCATCCCGTGCACGCACGATTACTGTGCACTTTCCTATGCAAGAAATTCGCACGGCAGTNGAGCACGCCAAACGCGTGCGGGGGAGATGTAGAGTGCGTGAGGAAACGTATTTATCTATTCAAGAACTGGAGTGCAACTATTTCCCCGGTGCCGCCGTTGATAAGTGTGTACCGCGGGTTGCGGCAAACCGTTCTAGGTAGAACGTCTTAGCTATGTATGGCGGGTTGCGGGAAACCATTCGACGCAGGAACTTCGATCCCGCTTGTTCCGAAGGCAGGAGATAAAGGGCTAAAAGTGTACTCAGACCCAGCCAGCAAAATTGTTGGTGTTTCATTTCCAGAAAACATGCATTTTTTGACGCGCTACAATGAAAATATTTTAGCCGATGGCACGTTTAAATATGCGCCAAAACATTTTACGCAAACGTATACAATTCATGTCTTTAAAAATGGCCTAAATGTCCATGTTGCGACTTTTTTTTTGCCATCAAAAACGGAGGAAACGTACATAAGCATGTGGCAGTTACTTAAAAAGATGTCTCTTGACATGTCTCAGATAGAGCTAAAAATTCATGAAATCATGTTGGATTTTGAAGTTGCCGCGCATAACGCAGCAAGAAAAGTGTTTTGTGACGTGCGGATAACAGCGTGTAAATTCCACCTGGGGCAAAGTTGGTACCGTCGAATAACTAAATCGAAATTTCTCTATATTGCCTACAATTATAAAGGAGATGAAAATATAGTATTAGTGGAAATAAGAAACTGGCTTAAACTATTCTTTTCACTAACATATTTAAAGCCAGAGCATGTCATCGATGCTTTTTTACACCTTGAAGCTACTGCTTCGAACCACCCCTGCTGCCATAAATTCGTTTTATACATTTCCAAAAATTACATTTATGGCAATACTTTCCCTCCCTCTTTGTGGGCTTCAGTTTTCACACGAAATTGTATCACCACGACGAATGCTGTCGAAAATTATAATGGCAAGCTTGACTACGAGTTTTATCACAGCCATCCAAACGTTTATGAAGCAATTGACCAAATTACAAATGCTCAAACCATAATCTCTTTAAAAATAAATTCCATAAATCAAAACGAAACGTTTAAGAAAAGAAAACAGCAGTCGGATGAGGAAGAAATTATAATCAGCCTAACGGATGCACTCTACACGTTCGGGTACATCACTCCGGTCCAATTTTTGCATGAGCTGGTTCAAATCAGACACCCTCCAACCGCTTCTGTGGATCCCGTAGGCACAGACGAGGAAGATGACCCTGACACTCAACTTTAAGTTTCCGACCGGTGAGTACTTCAAAACGTTGATTCCTTTTTTCGTTTTGTCGGTTGCCAAGTCTCGCAAGAAAATTCAAAAATAAAAGAAAAGAGGGCGGAAATGACAATCGCGAAAAATGGGCGGAAATGATAAAATCGCGAAAAGTGGGCGGAAACGATAGCCGGCCGATTAATGCTGCACTCTCACCTGTCCCTCGGCGTCTTTTTCCCTGACATGAGGATTAAAGTTTAGTGTTAGCTCTGTGTATTTTTCGTGTATTTTGTTGAGAAATAAAGATTATAGAACTTTAAGATTAAGATCTTCTGATGATGGTCCATGACGTGGGCTCGTAGCGGCAAATCGACGTTCTGAAGGAATCTTACAACTAGTGGTTCTAGTCACGGATCTTATTTCACAGCTGGTCCCTCGCTCCCGCCCATTTTGGTCCCTCGGGCCGGATACTTTATTAAAATAATTGAGACGCCAGTCCTTAGGTTTTACTAGTCTCATTTTTTAAATTAATGTCCTTAGATTTGTTGATGGGAATAACAGCTATCGAATTTTGAAAGTTGCTTTAAACATTTTTCGAGTTCAAGAATTTATAGTTTAATCATTTTGTGTCCATCAATTTCTCTAAAACCAAAATACCTAAATTATCAAAAAAGAGGCCTGTGCGCATAGTATACAGACTGTCAAACGCCAATCCAGGTGAGAAACTATACTTTGTTTTTATGTGTGTCCAATCAAATTGTTTTATGAGACTTGCAGCACGGTAGTGTAAATAAATGGGTTCCTCGGGACAGGAAAAGGTGAAAATGTCCGTGAATTTCTTCAAACCTGGAAAACTGCTGGAGTGTACACGGAAATCATATTTTGGGAAAAAATTAAACAACTTACAGTGCCCTCTCTAGTTTCTCATCTAACAAAGGAAGAAATGAAAACATTCATCGACGGGAAACCAGAGGATCACATTTTTACATTCCCTTGCCATTCACAAGCAGTTGAACGGTGTGTTCAAACTGTGACAGAGGCTGCCCGTCATGTTTGTGGGCAGTCTGCAAGGGGTGGTTACATCCGAAGCACACTGCTCGCTCGCAAAATATTGCCTATTTTCGAAACAAAACGCCAGTCTAAGGATAGGGTATAAGTGTAGGGACTATTTTTTTCCAAATTCAAAATTTAAAAGTTTGGTTGTTTGTACATTGCATAAAGGGTTTTTAATGAAACGTTCATAACACTGAATACAGATAAATTCAAAATTTTTTGAGGGTTTTCGACCGTAATTGAAGATATGCAAAGGGCCACAGAAGAATATATTAGTTTTTAACTATAAAAGTCAGAGAAAAACATTAAGGAAACTTTTAATTATCTTTGTTTGATATCATTGAAGAAAAGGGGGGAGGGTGGAACCCGATACAGGCACCTCCTCGCGGTGGATTCTGGGTAGAATATTTCAATTCTAGCGAAGATCTGTAAAAATTATAGTTGATTTCAGCATTATTTGGATTTACGTTAGGATTAAGTTGTAATCTAATACTTCAGTATGCTGCCGAGATTTTGAAAAAAGAAAAAACAGTTGAGATGCATAAAATGTAAAATACGCGTAAAACTGGTTCACAAGTGGCCGCTGAAGATACCCACGGCGGCTTTCAGCGACACCACGCCGTTCCGTAACGTGGCGTAGCGCAACAGCGCGCGCCACAAATATGCTGTTACAGCCTTTACAGTTGAAGATACGCCAAAACGGACGAAATTTTTGCCCAAAAAACCACAACTCGTCAATTCCAAGCAGGAATGCTTTTTTAAATCTTTCAAAAACCACATTTTTAACTTATGTCCTTTAGGTCCAATTTACTTGCAGAAGATTGAATTTTTCGGCAAAATTCAACATAACCATTTCGATTCGTATTCAGAAGGAGCATCGATTGTCATATGCCCGAATTCGATCGGACAACATTTCCCCAAAACGCTCCACCCTACCGCACAGGCACTAACATGAATGCAACTAAAGGCTCGCTTGGTTGAAAGAGTGCCCGAGTCGAGACGGATATATCCGGACACCATCTTACTTTCTCACCAAAGAGCGTTTGGATGGAGGCTCCATACACACATTTGGACTCGTTTTTGGTTGGTTTTCATTGTTCGCACTGAAAAAAAAAAAAAACACATTGGATCCAGAGTCCAGACTCTTGAAAACATTGACGAGACAAAGGACTCTTGAAAACATTGACGAGAAAAAGGACTCTGATTCAATCAGATTTAAGCTTAAATCAAAAGGATATCCGTTCAAATTAAGAGGCTTGGTTCTAGATTTAAGCTTAAATTTGATTGAATCAAGAGTATTTTTTCATGTCGATGTTTTTAAGAGTCTGGATTCTAGATCCAACGTGCTTTTTTTTCCAGTGCGACATGTATCCGGAAAATTTCATGTAAACTAAGTGCACTTGATACTATTCAAAAATCTAACGATTCAAAATTACTGAGCCACCTCATTTGAGCGGTAAAAATGGCATGAAAAGTTCCGCTCTGTCAAATTTGAAAAACATTGGTCTCGTCATTACTTTTTTTATTTGCAAGCGCCGAGCGATTCAGAAATCTGCATCAAAAACACGCAGAACTTGTATTATAAGCGCACGGTAGAGCGCTAGACGGCAATAAAGAAACCTTAAAACAAGACTANTTCAAAAATCTAACGATTCAAAATTACTGAGCCACCTCATTTGAGCGGTAAAAATGGCATGAAAAGTTCCGCTCTGTCAAATTTGAAAAACATTGGTCTCGTCATTACTTTTTTTATTTGCAAGCGCCGAGCGATTCAGAAATCTGCATCAAAAACACGCAGAACTTGTATACAGTCTTCCGAAATGTTATTATTTGCCTTGCCATTGGACAAATTGCGCGAATTTGCTATTGCAATCATTGGGAGGATATTAAATCCTAAAATGCATTTTCTAGTTAGCCATCGTAACAACGCAAAGTATAGGAGTGATAAAAAAAAAAAAAAGTCCGGCGACTGTCAGCTGCGGACGGACGATACATTAAATCGAAAGAAAATAATTCATAACTAATAGATACGTACCAGATGAGGTTTATAAAATTGCCCGACGCCAAGCTGAAAGCACTCGCAACGGTATCACAAAAACCGAACTTTACACTGAAAAATTAGCCGCAAAAAGGATGCTTTGATGGATAAGAATTATTTTAAAAAAATTAGAGATTCACCAGGATATGAATCATAACCAGGCGTACGTGGTTAACTAATTTAAATTCTGCCCAAATAAGGTGTTAACATGTTATGTAGTGAAAGAAGACAGGAGGAACAAACATGAAAATAAAATAATGATTACAATGATAATGGAGATGTTGCATGAGTGAGGAATTTGCGATTTGACTGATGATTCTTATGTGAAAGTTCGCGAGAAACACGATGGTGCCACTGGTTTTCTTTGAAATCAACTCCCAATCTCAAAAAAAGCTTTCAAGTTGAGGCCAAAATGAAGGGGATATCCCACCCTACCCTGAGAGTCCACGTCTACATCAAGACAAACTCTCCCTGCAAAAGAATACGGAGCAAATACATTAGCAGGGTTGCCGTTTTTTCAGTTTTGGAGTCCCCAAATAAAGTGGCGGCCCTGTCAATGTATTTGCTCCCTATATTTGCATGGAGAGTTTTTCTTGATGTAGACGTGGACTCCCAGGGTAGGGTGGGATGATATCCCCTCCATTTTGGCCTCAACTTGCGAGCTTTTTTTGAGCGTGGGAAACAATTTCAGAGAAAACCAATGGCACCATCGTGTTTCTCGTGAACTTTTACATAAGATTCAACAGTCAAATCGCAAATTCCTCACACATGCAACATCAAGTGCAATATTCTTCCATGATTGTTTTTTCTTCTCAAGTTAATTTGGTTAATTGGAATCCACCCAAAAGTAATGCTTGCAGGGTTTTTGCAGACATGATAAAACGTAACTTCATTGACCACTGAACCACTGTGAGTTATGGATTGCATCTATGCTGTCGTTTGGCTGAAGAGCACTGGAATGAGCCGTTTTACTTAAATGACAAGCTCTTATGGGACTACGAAACGAAAATCTCTAATAACACGACCGGCAACCTGTAATTTGGAAGTTCTTGCTTTGAGTTTCATTCTTTTCCAAGTCATGGATGGCTTAGATTCTGCCAGATATTTCGGGGAGTATTACAGGGTATACGATACAATTTGCTGAAAAAAGGCTGGGTTCATCAGCGAACACGCGGGTTTAACTGCCGTTAGGCCTATTTTCTTAAAACTCCACTTTTCTAAGACATAAAAATCATAAAAAATACACATCATGCACATCATCATGTGGGATGCACTATGATGTACTGGACTAATAGTCCAGTGCATCAAGACTAGTAGACGCGAGATAGTCAACGAGACAAGGCTCAAATGAAAACTTATGGTAAGGGAAACTTTCAGTGTTGAATTTTTGCAACTACAGGTGAAGACAAGAGTTGAAATCAGGGCTGCCGATAAAACTACTCACGTATTGCAAACCTCTCACCCGCAACTACATGTTCCAAATTTTTCTCACTTGCTGTTCATCGTCCTCGATTGTACTCATTTCCACTCACCGTCCTCAGTTTTACTCACTCTCTGTTCACTCTTTTCCAGCTTCACATACATTTAAATCATCGTTCTCGATTTTACTCACTCTTCGCTCACTATTCTCAATTTTACTCACTGTTTACTAGTGCAAATTGCAAAAAAAAAAAAAAAAAAAAANAAAAAAAAAAAAAAAAAAAAAAAAAAAAAAAAAAAAAAAAAAAAAAAAACCGAATTCTCAGGATAATGCATCAATTCATCGATCGCTTCACCTCACTCTGAGACACTGCTAGAGGGTTACTCAAGTTTCACTCGCCGATGATCCAATTACTCACGAATCGGCAGTCCTGGGTGAAATATACTTATCAGCACTAATTATTAGCCCTCTCTCATTAAAAACATCGCATTTCAACTTAAAAACAATGGTGGAAAAAGGTTTTTGTTTTGCAGCTGCATCTAAAATTTAAAATGCAAGTAATGTTATGCAAATAACATTAACTTGTCAACTTAAATTGGAATTTATAAATTTCATTTTTAAGATACATACATACGAGTCGCTGTTATAGCGCTCTTTGGCGCTTTGCGACACCTAATCGCCACAAAGCTCGGTCTTCCCACAGGTTATCAGGGAGTTGACACTCCCTCATCTCACTTAACACCCCCTGTCGCCAACCTCTCACTGGGCGTCCCCTACGCCTCCTCCCAGGAGGAACCCAATCAAGCATCTTTTTTGGCAGCCTCTCCTCCGTCATCCTACTGACATGACCATACCAAACAAGTTGTTTGGTCATGACGTCGAACACGATGTCATTTTCGACTTCCATTATCTGACGCACTCTATCATTACGGACCCGATCTCTCCTAGAAATTCCTGCCGACCTTCTCCAGAAATCCATCTCCGTTGCTCTTAGCATATCCTGTGTCCGTTTCTTCAGCTGCCAAACTTCACATCCGTATGTTAATATACTTTTAAGTATACTTTTACATTTTTAAGATACGTAACTAAATTACGATACATCAACTACACTAACAGAGTGACTCTGAAGGAATATGTAGCTTAGACAACTGAAGATTGGAAGCTGAAATTATGAAGTAAATAAAATAAAAGATTGGAAGCTGAAATTATGAAATAAATAAAATAAAGTAAAGATATAAGACGTTGTTCTTGCTGCTGCTTCTTTCGATCCTGTTTCTGAAGCTTTTTTTGCTACTGCTGCTTTCCTTCTTCCTCCTCCTCTGCTTTTCTCCTCTACTTTTTTAAACATATTTTGTTCTTTGTCTGCTATTTCTTTTGCTGATGTTTCTTCTCGTGCGGCTCCTGATGTTTTTATTCTTCTGTGTCTTCATTTGCGGGTTTCTTCTACCTACTCCTATTACCAGAAGAGACTTTTGGAGATCATGAAGATTTTTCTGTTCTAGTGCCAAAGAGGGACCTGTGAGCCCCGCACACTCTTCACCTTATCTATGAATCTCTGAGAAATGATAGCGATGGTTGACCTTGGGGATTGGAGATTCTTGCAAGTATTTACATCTTTGTTGATGAGAGATATTGTAAAAAAAAGCGATTTTGACGAGTAGAATGAATTGTGATGATGTGAACGCTGATGCATCAATCCAGCGAAGCTCACAATCAGGCAAGTAGTCATTCGCAGAATGAAGCAAGTTGCGCGGCTGATTTAGTACCAAGGCTATGGCTTAAATTCGATGACTATCACACATAGATTACATAGTTCTATATTAATTAATTGAAGAGAAGCGTCAGACCCTCCGTATGAAAGGGAAGAAAGAAGATAGAAGAAAGTTAGAAACTGAAGACACGGCTTTTTAGTATGTCAGTGACAATACAGTGCTGTTGTTAAAATGAGGGGAAAGAAAGGAAGAACAGACAGAACAGCAAAAAGCAGAAAAACAGTGGAGAAGGAAATAACACAGACTGAGAAATGAGGAAAAGTAGCTTTTCTAAAATCAAGAGTGATTGAATGCCTCCCCTCCACCGGTCAGTCAGTCCATTAGTCGGTCAGTCAGTCTGTCAGTCCGTTGGTCGGTCAGTCAGTTAGTCAGCCGGTAAGTCATTCATTCATTCAGTCAGTCAGTTGGTCAGTCCGGTCGGTCCGTCAGTTAGTCAGCCGGTGATTGAGTGAGTGATTGAGTGAGTGAGTGAGTGAGTGAGTGAGTGAGTGAGTGAGTGAGTGAGTGAGTGAGTGAGTGAGTGAGTGAGTGAGTGAGTGAGTGAGTGAGTGAGTGAGTGAGTGAGTCAGTCAGTTAGTCAGTCGGCTGCGGTAAAAAACTTGCTTGCCCCTGAAACCCAAGACGGCGGTTGAGAGGCATCACCTAACTCTTTCCATGTCTCATCACTGCCAAAACGGCGGTAACAAGACACGAAAAAGGCTAGACGGCACCTCTTCCCCGCCGACTCGTGCTACAGGGGTAGATTTGTTTTTACCGCGGCAGGTAACCATGCCCGAATAAGAGCTGCGATAATGATTGTTCCCGAATGCGTGCGGTCAGGGTAATCGCGTCGTCATCGAACATGGGCACGCGCGCACGTTCGATGACAACACGACCATCCTGCATGTGCACGCATACTCAAGGCACTCACCATCACTCCTTTTACAGAGGCAAACGCGAGGTAATTCAAGGTCATTTATCACTCTTACGGTCACCAATCACCATCCACGGACGTGGCGGCCTCTGGCCGGGGTGGAGTCTGCAGATCCCTCCTACTAGTGCTCCCCACACGGATCCGAAGTCCGACGTTCAGGCGACGACCGAACGCCGAACGGTTTCCCGTTCGGCGGGTCGTCCACCCGATCGTCGGACGGACCGTCGTGACGAACACTTTTACCTGAACTGACGGCGGTTCTGCCGTCGCCGAGCGCCACGGCTGTGAATGCAAGTCGTGGCCGAAACGGAGCTTCCGGGACCTCCTGAAGCCCGTGTCAAGCTCGCGGTGTGAGCGTCGATGCCTCCATCCAACAGGGTCCATGTCCCATGAGGAACGTACCCTATCATACGGATGGAGGCATCGAAGCCCACACTGTGAGGGTGACACGAGCTCTTGAGCCGATTCCGCACGTCGCAAATGGGAGCCGAGACGATGAGCATTAACCTCATACTGATGAGGTCCGATCTCATCGAGTCAGCTCTCATTTGCGACGTGTAAAATCGGCTCGTACCTCTTGCCCCCTTTAATGGACACATCCCTTCGGGGATCTTTCTCTTCGGCAGAGCTGCAAAATGTTCTCGATCGCGTGACCGATTACGTGAGAATTGAGAAGGAGTGTAAAAATTGGGGAAGTTTTTACTTTCTTTTTTTATGTTTTTTACACATGTTGCTCCAGTTGGGGAGGAAAACTACGAGGCGCATGATTTACCGTCTTGGATGTTTTTCAAGCGCGCTGTTTCATGTGCTGGAAGGTTGTCTATCAAGGCGCTGTTCCATATACTGGAAGGAAGTCTTTCAAGCGCGCTACTTTTGGGAAAGAAAACTGTTAAGCGTTGTGTTTAGAGTACAGGCGCAATTACAGTAAACCATCAAATTTTTGGGAGGACAAATTATAAATGGAGGA